ATCCATCTCCCATGCCGTCCAAATGACTGATTTGAAACAGAAACGAATTGAGTCATGCTCTTGCTCAAAAGACTTCAGTGGCTCCCAACCTTCAGGGTTTATGCAAGCTCCAGTTGGTGCTCCAAATGGACACCAGCACCTAAGAACTGGTCTCTCAGTTTCCACTTTTACTTCTCCACAGTCCAAAGAGCCCCCTTTAAAAGATGAGCTGGACCAGGCCACTCCCTTGTTCAAATCCCTTCCCACTTAAACTACAGTGCAAGTTCTCACCGGGGCTCTAGAAGCCTCCTGTGATGTGAGCCTTGCTCACCCTCTGACCTCATCGCACACTCACCCACTCCACGTGGGCCCCACTGGCCTCCTTGCCGTTCCTTCCTGTTCTGTCTGGAAAGTCATTCTCCCAAAAGTGCCTCAAAGGTCACTTCTCAGAGTCTCCTAGACGACTCCATCTGAAATAGCACCTCTCATCATTCTCTGTCCCCTTACCTGGCTTTATTTTCCTTCATGTCATAGGCCACACTAACATTATATATGCTTATTTGTTAATTATCTGTCTTTCCTGCTAGAACAGAAGTTCCAGAAAGGCAGGACTATTGCTTGTCCCCTGCTATCCCCAGTACTTCACTCACTAAGTATTTGTTGGAGAAAAAAAGTAATATTTTTTGAATGGATATAATTTAGGAAATGTGTGGTGATCCACACCACTGGGTGGGATACACAAGGCAGCAGACTCTCAGTGGAGGTGTGTTTGGATTGAAAGAAGCTCTGAAGGCTGTGGGATGGCAGGAGGAGAGGATGGGGGAACCTGATGCGGCATTCCTCTGTGGAGTTGGAGCCAACTTCTCTGATCTCCCAACAGGCTAGTTAGGTGACCCCTTCTCTGGGGCTCAAGAAGGTAGTCCCCTGTGCATAGATCACCTGTCCATTTTCCTGCTAGGTTAGGAACACATGCAGAGTAGAGACAATTTCTTCTTCGTCCTTATTTTCCTAGAGCCTAGGAGGGTGTCTGGCAATAAGTGTGAACAGCTAATGAATAAGTAAAACAGTCTGCAAAACACAAATGGCATCGAGAGCAGAAGAAAGCCCCAAGAGAAGTTATTCGATTACTTAGAATTCTCCTAAGACTGGGGCTGAATGACATGATTCTTCACGAGTCCCTCAAACGTGACAGCAGAAGTAGTCTAGATGCTCGCAAGTATAAATTCAGATTGTCAGCTGGGGGGGGGGGGGGGGGGCAGGACAGTGCAATGAGGAGAGTGGTAACATGAGATGAGAGGCTCCTGTAGCTGGTGACAGTTGATGGTGGCTTGGACTGGGATGGTAGGGGTGGAGGTTGTGAGAAATGATTGGACCTTGGATATAGTTTGAAGTTAGAGCCAGTGTGACTTGCTGATCAATTGCATTTGAAGTGTATAAAAAGAGAAGAATCAAGGATGCCTCCAGAGTTTTTGGCCTGAGCAACTAGTTTCAGAGTGCTGCCATTTATAGAGAAAGGGGAGGAGCAAGGCTGCAGAGCAAGAGTTTGTTGAGAATGTGGTAGGTCCAAAGTGATGGTTGGGCATGTGAGTAGAGGTGTGGAGAAGGCAGGAGCTGTGGGGCAGGAAAGCAGGAACCAAGTGTGTGCTAGAGATACACATTTGGGAATCAATAATGTATAGATGGTATTTAAAACCATAAGACCAGATGAGATCATTGTCCTGGGTTGAATAGTGTCCCCCAAATTTATGTCCACGAGGAGCTGTAAATATCTTATTTGGAAATAGAATTTTTGCCGATATAATCAAGTTAAGATGAGATCATTCTGGATTAGGGGAGGCCCTAACCCAATGACTGATGTCCTTGTAAGAACAGGAGAATTTGGACACAGGCACACATGGAAGGAAGACAGCTATGTGGAGAGGGACACAGAGATTGGAGTTAGGCTGCTAAAGCCAAGGATTGCCATCAACCACCAGAAGCTAGGAGAGGCAAGGAAAGATTCTTCCCTGGAGCCTTTGGAGGGAGCGTGCTGCCTTGATTTCAGATGTCTCGCCTCCAGAACTGTGAGAGGATACATTTCTGTTGCTTTAAGCCACTCAGTTTGTGCTACTTTGTTACAGCAGCCACAGGAAACTACTATAATCACCCAAGGTGAGTGTGGATGGTGGGCAGGGTCTCCCAAGGACGGAACCCTGGGAAACTGCATCCTTCAGAGGTCAGGAAGAGGAGCAAGATCCTGCAAGAGAGACTGAAAAGCCACGGCCCAGGAGGGAAGAGGAAAACCTGGAGAGTATGAGGTTCCAGTGCCAAGGTGAAGAAAGTATTTCAAGAGGATAGAAAGCCTAAGATGCTCCAGACAAGTTGGTAACAATGAGGACTGGTCGTTGGACCCGGCCATGAGGAGGTCCCTGGTGACCTTGACTAGCCCAGTTTTGGTGGAATGATTGGCATGAATCAGAGAATGGGAGATGAGGAAGTGCAAATAGCAAGTAGACAATAACTACCATTGTCCTCGATCTTATACTTGGCAAACAGAATCTTCTCATCTCGTCCTTACAGCAACCCTATGAGATGGGCATTGTTATTTACAGAAAGGGAAACCGAGGCTCAGAGGGATTAGAGAATTGGTCCAAGGTCCCCGACAGACAGGAAGTGTAGAAACCCAGGTCTTCAGAGACAAGAGTCCAGGCTCTTTCCATGTTTCCAAGGAGCAGCTGATCTGATGAATAACCTTGGAGAGGGCTGGAAAAAACTGGTTCTTGTCTGTATCCAAACAGCACCCGGGCTTTCCCAGGAAACACTTCCATTTAAAGAAGCCTTTTCGCCAGCCCTTCAGCTGGGCCATTCTCTCACCTGGCCTTTCCGGGTGTGCAGGGGCCCATCCCCTCCTCCTCCCAGGCGTCTCTGCCCCATTAGGGGAGAGGGGATGCGCAGGGATGGGGAACCCCATCCTCAATGGCTAGTCTGTTTCCTTCTCTCCACTCTATGTCCTCAAGCAGAGGGTGAGCACGCAGATGCCTCCTGGAGCTGGCAGGTAGTGGCCATGAGTGAAGTGGGCCCAGGATGGGACAACAGGAAATGTTTGAGGCTGAGAGTAAACTTGAACATGAAGGCCCCACCTGAAGATGTTCAAATTCAAATTTCACAAACCGGGAGTCTGCCAACAAATGTGACTATGACTCAATTTGGTCCTGGGCTAGTGTGTGGACTCCGATGGTTTAAGTCACCACATCGTGCCTCCTTTCCTGGGAGCGGGGGGCCCATCCTTCTACCCACAAGCGTCCCTGTCCTGACAAATGAGTGCCCGGAGTCCACCCATATAACTGATGTCTGAAGAGCAGCAGATGTGAATGCTGAGGAGAAGCTGTCACCCCACAGTCTCTGTCCAGAACTGGACCATTTGCAGGGTCTTCATCTGACTCCTCTTCGTGTGTCTGGCCAACTATCAGCCCCTTGCTGGCATTGCGCTGCATACTGGCAATCTTCAGTTTGCCCCTCTGGAGCCCTTTCTGGCCACCTTGGGAGGATGATCTGTGTGGGCTGCGTCAGGGGCCTCTGTGCCCTCTGGCGTCCTGTTGCATGGGAAGCCTGACTGCAGGTCTGAGGGAGGCAAGAGAGTGAGGACAGAGCACTTCTGCCTGGCTCATCCCCCACAGGGTTGATTGGGGCTCCCCCAAAGGTCAGAGCCCTTCTCAAAATGGTCCTCTCTAGCTGACTCTCCTGGTTCTTTTAGTTGCTGCTTCCCCTTGCCTTTAAGAAGTGGCTACAGCTCTCTGCTTTTACAGCCCTGGACACTGCACAATCCCTTGGGGTTTCCCTACACTGTCCACGCCTGTGTAAATAATAGTCCCTTCATGCTGGGTTGAATGATGTGTCCCCCCCTCCCCACCCCCAAATTCATGTCCACTCAGAATCTCAGACAGTGACCTTATTTGGAAAGAGGGTCTTTGCAGGGGTAATTGGTTAAGATGAGGTCATACTGATTTGGGGTGGGCCCTAACTCCAGTGACTGGTGTCCTTATAGGAAGGCCATGTGTAGACACACAGGGAAGAAGGCCATATGATGGAGGAGGCAGAGGTTGGAGGGCTGCAGCTACAAGCCAAGGATTGCTGGCAGTCACACAGCACAGTTTTCTCTTAGAGCCTGCTGCCACCTTCATTTCTGACTTCTGGCTTTCTAAACAGGGAGAGAAGTAAATTTCTGTTGTTTTAAGCCATCAGATTGTGGTAATTTGTTACAGAAACCCTAGAAAATGAATACACCCTTCACCAAACTTTCTTTCAATTCCCCAAACTTGAGGGTGCCGCCTGTGTCCTGTGGGGGGCCCCGGCTGATAGAGTTCTCTTGCTCATCACATCTCCCAAGGGCTTTCATTATCCTCAGTAAGCCCCAAATCCTCACCTTGGCACCAAAGACCCTCCCCACTAGGGTTTCACATTGCTTTTCCGATCCTCTTATCTGATTCCCAGCCAAGCTGGTCTCTTGGCTCTAATCCTGCTTTGCATTTGTCCCACTAACCTTTGCCTGGTTCCTCCACCCGAGTCTTATCCATTCTTAAGCGCAGCTCGACCCTTTCTCCTCCAGTAGGAAGCTATGTGGACTCCCCAGCCCGAAGAGATGGACCTTATTAGCTCTTGGTGTCAATGTGCTCAATCCAGCCTATGTGGGTGCACCCTGGTGGTATTCACATGGCATCCTGTGTGTGCTTCTCCCCGACTCCACAAGCTCCATGAGAACAGGAAGAGTGCCATGTTGTTTTTGTCAAGAACCACAGTGCTGGGCACATGCTAATGGGTGCAAAGAAAGAGTCTGAAGTGTTTTTGGAACTGGTGTACCACCAGGGGAAGAGGCAGGACCTTCTAGGCTCCAGGGATAACCTGGAGTCCACAGCCCAATGACCCAGCACAGGAGTCTTTGGGGCTTACCAGCTGCAACTCATGTGTGACATCACAGTAGGAACAGGGGCCTTCAGTGATATGTACTAAGTCGACTCAAAAAGACACTGCGAGAGGTGGGCAAAGAGAATTCCTCCCTCTCTCCAACTACATCTGCCCTCTCTTCCCCTCTCTCACATTTCACTTCCCCGCCCTGACTCTATAAGAGAGTGCGTCTGATTCTCCTACTAGAGGTGTGTTGAGAGAGAGAATTTTCGGGATGTTCTAATCCTCCAGCCTGAAGTAATCAGACTGCTTCTGTTTGTCCTTCATCCTCCTCTCCCTTCCCTGAAAACTCTTCTGCCTCTCGGATATTCGTAGCCATCAGCTCCCTGATCCCTAGCTCTCAGTTTCTCTCTCTCTTCTTTTTAGAGCAAATGAAGAGACAGCCTGTTGTAGAATCTGTCTTGAAGCCCTCATTCCCGGGGGGAGAGAACTCTCTTTGGAAAGAGGCAGAGTGAGTATTTGTGTTGTCCTGGCATCTCTTTAGCCTCTTCTTCTGAGTCTCTTTTCCATGAATCTGAATTTCCTCCCTGTTTAGGAAAACCTGGCATCCCAAGGCATCAAGATGGGAGGCAGGGGGGAGTCTGAGGGCTCTACCCTCCCACGCATCGGGCAACAAGCTCTCCCTCTCGGAGTCCCACGTCTCCCAGCTCTGTCTCTGTGGGTGCAGCCTGAGGACAAAGGCAGTGATGCACCCCCGGCCCCCTCCAGTCTCCCGCTCAGTGTCTCGGGTGCTCCCCAGCTTGTCATCAGGGAGGAAGCAGCTGTCTCCGGCCATTGACTTCAAATCTCAACTCTCCCAGAGCTTTCCAAAGCCCAAGGTGCAGTCCCAGCTGCTATCTTGGTGCAGGTCAAGAGCTTCCTGCAATGCCATGCCGCTATGCAAGTCGGCGCCCATGGGCATGTGGCCTCAAGGATTTCTTGACCCACTCACCAAGACCTTGCCAGAGGAATCCCTTCACACCTCTGTCCCACTGGGAGAGAGCCATTTCCTCAGGCAGCGAGCCATATTCCCAATGATACCACTTGTGGAGGGTGGCAATCCCCAGTCCTCTCTAACATCCTTGTTTAAATAAAAATATATTTAGTCAATGATGGTCTTTCTCTTCTGTCTACTAAAAGCGTGCTAAGCGTCTGTTTTAATTGAAAATATATTTTGTCTTCTCCTTATACTCCCAATTGAGTTTTCCAGGGTCCTAATTTTATGATTGAAGGGCTTGGTGGCCTTTTGGTTATGACTACCTATAACCCTGTGCATGGGGGACACTGGGACTCTTGGATTTTTTTTTACAGCGTCCAGTTCCAGTGGGCTATGAATTCAGATCCCCCGAGTTCAATTTCCACAAACAAACGTGATGGGATTTTGATTGGAATTGTGTTGAATCTATAGATTGATTTGGTGAAAAGTAACATCACTACGATACGAGGGCTTCCCATCTGTGGACATGGGATAGCTCTCCGTTTATTTAGGTCTTTAAATTCTCTCAATAACATTTTGTAGTTTCAGCGTTGAAGTCACGCATGTTTTTCATTAGATCTTTTCCTAGGCATTGGATGGTGTTTGCTGCTGTTGTAAATTGTACTTTGTAGAAGGAATTTTTCTAAGGGATGGGTAGTGTAGGAAGGGGAGGCTCCACAATGTCTACCCTTTATCTTTTTTTTAAAAAAACAGCTTTATTGAGACATAATTCACATACTATACAATTCACCCATTTAAAGTGTAAAATTCAGTGGTTTTTAGTATATTCACAGATATGTGTAACCATCATCACAACCGACTTTAGAACATTTCATCCTCAAAAAGAAACCCCATACCCCATAGCTATTACCGACTTATTGTATTGCTTTTTATAATTTTATATTCTATCTTTTCTTGCTGGTATAGAGAAATATAATTTATCAGAGCATATCACTTGTCCTCAGTGACTTGACTAAATACATATATTAATTCTAGGAGTTGGTAGATTCTTTTGGATTTTCTATGTACAACATCACATCATCTAAAAATAATAATATTTAGACTTTCCCCTTGCCATTCCTTAGGGCTTTTACTTATTGTCTCATCGTCTTGGCCAGGACACCGAACATGATGTTGAATAGAATGTTGCCAGTGGACGTCCCTATCTTGTCCTGATCTAAACGAGGAAACTTTCCCTGTTTTGTTATTAAATACTATGATTGCCATAGGGTTTTCTTTGTTTGTAGATAGTCTTTATCAGATGAAGGAAGTTCCCTCTAAGTTTACTAAAGCGTTTTTATCATGAATCGGCCACCTACGTTCAAATCCTGAATCTTCCACTTATTAGTCATTCTACTGTGGGGAAGTCACTTACCTTCTTTGAGCCTCAGTTTCTCCATCTTAAATCGGAGGAAGGAATTTCTACCTTAAAGTTTCTCATGAAATTGAGAATACTTATGAAGAACACCCAACCCACAGCAGGTGCTCAATCGAATGCTGGCGTCACATTATATACTGTTTTATTTACCATCCTCCCCCCACCCCCGGGTGGATGCTCCACTAGGATCTGCTTGGCCTTTTGTTCAAGGCTGTATGCTTAGTGTTTGGAATAGTGCCTGGCATCTAGAAATTGCTTCAGGAAAGAAATCTTTTGCCTAATCAATGTCAATTTTATCTTTTCTGGAATCCTATAGCTATGAAACATGGTTTTGGGGCCCAGAACTAAACTTGCCCCTAGAGAATCACATTGTTCTCTTGGGCACTTCCAGGTTCAGTGTCAACTTTCCTTTTGACTTTTAAAAAGTGCCGTATTTTCCCCTTCTAGATTAGTCAATATCTGCGGTCCCTTCCCCCCTAACTTGCTGGACGTCAAGAACAGAGCTCCAGGGTGGAACCTCAGCCTTTCCCGCTGCTGCATGATGGTGGACAAGTCCTTTTCTGAGCCCCAGAGACCTCAGGGGTTTCCTCCACTTGCAGGTCCAACGCAGAAGTGATCTTCGTGGACTTGCAAATCTCCTGAGACTCTGCTCTGCTTTATCCAAATCTCTCCTGAGAGCAGCAAAGAAACCAGGTCCGGGATGAGCCTCCTGAACCCTCAGCAAGTTCTGAAATCAGGGACGTGAATGAGGAACTTGCAGCCTCAGGGATGAAGACCAGCACAGGGACATCCCTGGGCACTCCCCAATGCCGCCCACCCTCAGTTCGCATCAGGACTTCCAGAACACACCCTTCTCCCTCCTGGAATGCCTTCTTTTGCCACCAAATTCTCTCTATCCTCCAGATCAAGGTTCCTCAAGCTTTGCACCACTGACATTTTGGGCCGGATAATTCTCTGTTGTGGGGACTGCCCTGTGCACTGTCGGGTATTTAGCAGCATCTCTGATCTCTGTTATGCCGGTAGCAACACCCCCCATCCTGAATTGTGATAACCAAAAATGTCTCCAGACATTGCCAAATGTCCTCTCGAGGGCAAAATTGCTCCTGTTTGAGAGCCACTGCCCCAGATGATCTTTCTAAAGCCCCTTTTCATCAACCTCTCCCAGCTCGAATCGTCCCTCCCTCAGCAGGCCTTTCCTGCCTCCCTAACCCACACTCACCTCCCTCTTCTCTGAACTCTGAGCAGCCCAAGCTGCCCCACAGACGGCGAGAAGAGTGTCTCACGTTTATGGAGCACTTATCACATGCGGTTACACAGACCATCTGATGTAACCCTCACAACAGCCATTCATGTACAGTCCTCTCCACGTTTCAGATACTGGGGTCCTGAGAGGTGGAGACACTTGTCCAGGGTCACACAACTGATAAGGGGTGGATCTGGGATTCACATCCACGCTGTGTGGCTCATACAATCATGAACCACTCACTCTAGCTCATCGGATGTTTTCTCAATTGCTTCCTATATGTTTATCGCCTCCTAAACTAGATTGCAAACTCTTTGAGGGCAGGAACTAAAATCCATTTGTGGATGCTCCACGGCGCCAAGCACAGGGCAGGAGGGCCAAAGACAATTTCATTGATTTCCTGCCAATATGGAGTTTGGGGCATTAGAATGTGTGAGCGTGTGGATGAGATTGAGGATGGGGGAGAAGAAATTTCCAATTTGAGGCTTAAATATAATATACATCTACAAAATGCATTTAACATAAGTGCACACCTCAATGAATTTTCACAAACTGAACACACTTGTGTCACGAAATCAAGAATCAGAAGGTTCCCCTCAGCCCAGAAGCTTCCCTCATACTCCCTCCCAGTCATCCTCTCTGGAATTGACCCTCATGTCGCCTTCTACGAGCATAGATCCCTTTTACCTGTTTTTGTACTTTTAATAAGAGGAATCATGGAGCATGTACTCTTTCGTGTCTGGTTTCTTTTGTCCAACATTGTGAGAATCATCCACGTTGCACATAGCAACAGTCCATTCTTTCTCTATGTAGTATATTCGGTTGTGTGATGACACCACACTTTGTCTGTCCATCCTACTGTTGGAGGACCTCTGGTAGCTGCCAGTCTGGGGCTATTGTGAAGAGTCCTGCTGTGAACATTTTTGTGCACGTCCTTTGGTGCATGTGGTTTGCATTGCTGCTGGGGCCACGCCTCCCCATGGAACTGCTGGGTCATAGGTGTGCAGGCTTCAGCTTCAGTAGACACTGCCAGTTCCCCAGAGTTTTGGTATTTGGAAGCTTTTAAAGCCATAAGTGATCCCCCCTCCCCCCTTCAGACTGCTTTTCTGAAGAGATGGGAGGAGAGGGGTGGTGTGGTCTCCCTGGAATCTTCCAGATGACCACACCTGTACTAAGAACCTTTTTTATAGGAAAATAATGTCAGAGATGACAAGGATCATACAGATCTCCAGGCGAAGGCTTTCATTAGGCACAGGGAGAAACAGACTCAGAAACTAGGGTTGACTGGAGCAAGGTGATACGGGTCTAGCCTGGCCTGGAAGCCACGTTTCTGGACTCTGGATCCCCATTTGGCTTCTGGAGTACCTGAAGAGAGATCCATCAGGTGATGGGGCAGAACTAAATGCACAATTAGACTCACTAGGATTGTATGTGAAGTGTGAGGGTGGGAGTGTGTGCGGGGAGGTGGGACTGGTGAGCTGTCTTGCTCCCTCTATTTTCCTTGAGTCTGGGCTGAAGCCAAGGAAAACACAAGCCTGGCCGCTCCTCCCACCAGGGGAAGTCAAAGTGAGGGGCTTTACAATTAGAGCCTGGAAAATCTTCCACCTCACAGCCTCCCCCGAGTCCGGGGAGAGGATAAGGGGTGGGCGAGGGGTTGGGGGTGGCGCTGTTCTGGCAGTAGGGAGAGAGGTTCCAGGGTCTGGAAACGAGATGGACTTCACCCTCAAGGGGCTCACAACCTTCGGTAAAACCAGACAGACCTTCGGCGTAGAGCAAAACTCCATTTATTACGTACTGAAATTCCATCCACCAGGAACCTGGCGGGAGACTTGAGCCAACCTGGAGCGGAAACTGCTAAGCCCCCCGACTGCCAGCTCCAGCCTCAGAGCTTACCTGCTGCCCCAGACCCTCCCCTATTCCCGCAGCCCTCAAACTTCCGTATCCTGGTCCCCGCTGCACGGTCCACATCCGCCCCGCCTGAAATTCACCTTCATTTCCTGAGAAGTGGCTTGAGCTCACAGTCAGGAAGGGTTGGAAGGCGTACCCCCCATCTCGCCGCAACTTCCCTTATCTCACACCTCCTCCCCAGGCCTAGAGGTCCCCACCCGGTGGACGAGCCCTAAGAGCAGGATAAAAGAGGGGTTGCTTCTCTTTGCAAACTCTTTTGGCATCCCCTCTTCCCTCCCCAACCATCTGCCTTCCCGCCCCGGCTCCCGCGCCGAGCTGGGGCGCCAACTAAATCTGATCAAAATGCAATTGCCAAGTCGTTAAGGTATTTGAATTTAAAAAAAAGGAAAAAAAAAAAAAACTCCCGAGAAAGAAAGTATTTGATGGCTAATAATCTCATTTCAATATAATGGGACCTTCTTCTGCAGAGAGCAAGACAGGTTAAGAGATATAATTATGACTTTGCAAACTCTCTCCCAAGCGCGGGAGACGCGCTGACAGGTCTGCGCGCGGCTGCGCCCGACTCCGCTTGCTCCGAGGGGAGACGCTTTGTCTGCAGGGCCCGT